CATTTAAAACTTTGAAGACAATTAAAGTTATTTTCTATATTTTTCAGGATTATGTCTCTCTCCTTTTTTTTTCCAGAAAAAAAATTCAGAAAATTTATGTGGCTGCTCACCCAAAACAGAGAATTTTGCTTAAGATGTGCAGGATAGAAGTCCTAGACAGATTTGAAGCGAGGCTTCAAAAGATGGATCTGCTGCATTGCCAATCTATATGTGGGAAACCTTGGTCGAATATCAACAAGTGGATAATAAAGTGATTTGTATTATATTTCAAGGTCTGATTAGTTCTCCTATTCAAAACTTTAAGGAAATACTTTATCACTTTTCTAGTGAAAAGAAATCTATGAACATTAAACAGGAAAAATTACTGGCAAAGATTAATAAGTATGAGTATATTGCTCATATTATCAGCATTTCTTCTTGCCTATCTTGCATAGGTTAAAGTCTCTGGCACATGTAAATATTTTGAATAACCATATTAGAATGTAAACAGTACTGGTTTCATTTTGCTTTATTGCTATGAAAGAAGAAAAGTGGGAAGAAAGTCACATGTCATACTTCTACACACATTTACACTTTTAAATTCATTCCAATCCAGCAGGACGTTGGAAATAAGGGGCTCAAATTTTTGTCTGCACTTCAACAACACAATCCTCAGAAAAATTACCAGAGTAGGCTCAGTTTGGGGTTGAGAGTCAAACTAGCAAAAGAAAAATCAACTCTGAATATAGGATAGGTCTAATGAGGGATGGGGGCTACGGAAAAAAAAAATCCAAAAAAGTTTCCCCAATGCATTCTTATGGGTATTTATTTATTTACTTAGCATATGGCACATGTTAGTCAGGAATCACCGAGGTGACTGGCTGCCTCTGGGAAAGGATTTTTTTTCAGGCAGTGTTATCTTTACCCGCGGGACACCTGAATGCTGGTAGGCAATCGGGGGAGGCTCCTTTCTTGTCCCTCCCTTTATTCGCCCACAGGAATCAAGTCACCGAGCTGCTAACCTCAGAGGTACCAGCATCTTACCACATGAGCCACCGCAGCCCCCCTATTCTTATGGGTAAAGAAGCTGGACAGAAGCAGAATGTTGGTGATTGTACCCATCCAGTCAACGTTCTTGCTATTCTCTCTTGCTCATGTGATCCAGAGCAAAAATGAATATAGCTGCCTAATGCTTCCCAGTGTACTAATATAGTACAGTAGTACTAATATAGTACTATATAGTACTATAGTACTAATATAGTCCCGGTATAATATAAGGATAGAGCAGAACACACATATAGATGTAATACGTTACTTTATTCTACGGAAGAAATACAGATACCTCAACTGGCCACTGCTAGCAAAGGATTAGAAAGTGTCTCACAAGTCATGCTATACCTGCTCTCAGGAAGGAAGGAAGCAGTGGTGGTATTCTACTGGTTCGGCCCGGTTCTGGTGAGCCGGTAGCAGCGATGAGCAGCGGAGACCGAACTGATTCTCTCCGCCACTCTGCTGTTTGGCCCACCCTCCCATACTGATCCGCTGAATTTGAAGTGCAACTGCTTTGCATGGCACAGAGTGCTGCGCAGCAGCTGCTGAAGCAACTGGGATCGTGCAGGCTTGCAGGAGGTGCATTAGAACACCTGCGCAAAGTGCGTGTTTGGCACGCACAAGCATGCAAAGTGTGTATGTGTGCAAAGCGTGGCCACCAACCACACCCACCGAACCAGTGGCAAAAACATTTGAATCCCACCACTGGAAAGAAGCCAGCTTTCCATGAGGAAATTCATTGGGAAAGTCATCAGGAAATCAGAAGTCACTCCCACTGATTTTTTTTTTTTTTTTTGGTCCTCCCATAGTCATTCTGTTTTTCTATTTGGGCAAGGAAATATCTCTAAACCAATGACATGTGATTCTCATTCACAGTGTTCCCTGACTTCTTCAGTCCATAGTGGAAGCCTGGGGAATTTGTTGAGAGAAAATTTATGGGGATCATGTGACCACAGCTGACAGTGGGTTTGGATTTGCAACTTCATTCCTGGGAAACATGCAGAGAGAAAACCAAAGGTTTGCAAGGAAGGTTCCAAGTTATTTGATTAAGTCTCCAACTCAGGCATTCTTCTCCAGTCCTTTTGTGCTTGATCAAATAGGTTATGGGTTGTCTAGTATTTTGTCATGGATGGTTTTCAAGCCCAGTAACCACAGAGTAATTTCAAGATATAAAATGTATTTAAATAATTTTATGGCTACCGGGTTTTGTGAGGAGAAAAAAATATTAAGATAATCTTCGTTGTCACTTTTTCTATTTACACACTGGCACACATTAAAAATGAAATTCTGAATGTATGCCAAGTCAGAAAAGTAAAAGTAAGGAAAAAGATGGAAAGAGACTTTTTCTCTCACAGTTCCATACTAAGAAAAATTCTTGATGTTTAAAGGTTTTGTAAATCTATATGAATGCACATAAGGCAAATCTGATTCTTAAGGCAAAATAAAAGCTCCATTTTTTGATAGTTGATTAAATTGAAGTATAAAACTCCCAGTGTCATGAATAGGAAAAGTACAATAGAACTTTATGCCAGCTAATCTACTTTTAAAAATTTGAGGTTTTCTCTCTGATATTCAGCATTTTTAAATAAAACAAAACCCCTCATCAACCACAGCTGCAAAAGCAAGCAGCCTTCCACAAGTCTTACTACAATTCCCGATATCCCCAGCTATCATAGTAATTTGTATTAGGTTTTAGAAGGCTGATCTAGACTTAGCAGAAGTATTTCCTCTTGTTACTTTGTGAGTGTTGTAAAAGGTGGAAACTTCCAAAGCTGTTCTTAACATCAAACTACCAATAAATTCAGTTTTTAAAAGAACGTTGATTCTGATAATGTGAAGGCATAACATGGATAATTGTGGCAATCCTTTAAAATAAGTCTTTTGCAATGCAGGGAATGCACACATAATACCTCTCTTAATCCATTAAGTACTGTAGCTGTGTCTTTTTCCAAATTCATAGGGGTGCTTCTTCAAATACTCTCTTTTTTCCTAGATCATGAGACAACTGTACTAACCTAGAAAAGGATATAATTACTTTGTGCTTCTTGTACTTTCCCTCATATCATGAAGCACATTTTTAAAAGTTTAATATAACCCTACTGATATATATATTTATTCATATAAATTTATTGATCGTTCCTATGAGTAACATACAGAACAAAATTCTTACTCTACAGGAAAGCTAAAAACTTATTTGATTAACGTGGCTATAATAACAGCATCTTGCAAGTCTATTGTTTCTTCATCCTCCTCCTCCTCCTTTAGTAAATTGAGGAGACTTCCAAATATTATCTTATTGCTCTGGATTTAAAAAAACATTTCAGCCACTTTTGCCTAACTAACAATTCCTGCATTTCTGTCTGGTTATCTTTTGTACATTCTAACCTTATTCTCAGTACTCTTAAGCATACTAACTCTTTGACAACAGGAAAGGGGCAGAAATTATTTGGAAAGAGGGACTCAGATTTCTATGGTTGCTTCAGTGAATGAAATGGTATGTAGGAATGACCTCCTGAAACGGGGAGGGGAAGGGAAGAGATGCTAAAGGACCTTATTCTATACTGCTGCTGTGCTATGGTCAGCCCCACCTTTTCTGTTTTTATCCCCCAAAGACGTTCCTCTTTAGCCAAATCCTTTTAGCTTCAACAATTAATAATTGACTTTCATTACTCTATGAGTAATGTTGTTGTTAACTTGCTTTATTTTGGAAATCGCCTAGTTTTATTGTTACTCAATAAAAGCGGTCAAATGAAACCTGTTGGATCAAAAAGATCTTCATTAGTGGAACATTGGATTAAGGCCAGAAAAAAACACAAAGCAAACCTGGAGTTGTTCTTTGCTTATTTCCCAAATATTCAAAGTTACTTTGGGTGTGTGTGTGTGTGTGTGTGGCAGTTTTATGGTTAAAAGGCTTTGAGCAAATTGGCTCCTGAGCTAAACATACAATTTAAGACATTAATAACTGACATTTCTTTTTTTCCACAGGGCCTTGATGGGTGGACTGATATTATCCCAGGAAAATATAATAGATGTGAGTCAAATTTAAGAGGGCCAGTTTGGTTTCATGGTTAAAGCTACTTGGCTAGAAGCCAGGGGATTGTGAGTTCCATTTTGGGCCAGGCACGCACTCTCTCAGCTTTGGGAAGATGGTAGGGGCAAACCCCATTTCTGAAAATGCTGCCAAGAAGATTGCCTTGACTTGTTCGTGTTGTTATAAAGAGGAAGGTCATTCAATGAACCATAGAAACAACAGTTTCTTCATTATTGAGGGCTTATAGTGTGTATAAATCCTGGCCAGACATTGCAGTTGGAACAACTGCTCTTTGGTAATTTATTTCCCTATGAGCAAGGTATAGCCACAAACACACCCAACTAATTTGCTGAGGCATTCTTTATAATTTGCTGTTCTGTGCTGCACACTCTTTAATAAGAGCCATCTCCTGACAGCAAAGGGTACTCACCTTTCCAGTCAAAGCAGACTCATGAAAAAAACAATGCATTAGGCACTCAGCAACCAAGGGGTAACAGGGAAGGCAAAGTATTATTAGATTTGCTGTTTAAAGCACCTGTCCAGAGAGGAGTAAAACTGTTGTCAATTTTGCCAAAAGGGCAAAATTCTGTGATCTACAGAACCTTTTCTCTGACAGCTTCTGCTTCTGTGGTTCTGTCTATTGTTAAAAACTGAAAGATGGAGAAAAACAAGATTCCTTTAAACAACTCACTTCTAATGCTGAAAGAAACCTGATAACAATGCCCCTATTTGTTAAAGGAGCCTGAGAGGTTGAAAGCAAACAAGGAAAAGCTAGTTGAGAAATTGGGTAAATGTGTTTGCATATAATTTACATAATTCTTTGATGGTCTGACCATTACCAAAAGGGAAAAAAAATGCATCAAAGCTGAAAGGAAGAAAGAAAAGATTGGTTGCCTATGTTGCAATAGGATCAAGGGGGAGTGACCAATGAAGAAAAAGCTCAAAGTAGGTTATTCTTTGGAACAGTCAGAAGAGGCAGAGTAAGAGAGGACTACAACCTAGAAGCCTTCTAACAGGGCAAAAGTGCCCTTTGCCCAGCTCTGGAATGGCTTTCTATTTTCTGGGTTACACTTGTCTAGTCCTATTATTGGAATGCTTTACTGCTGTGGCTGGTAAGTCAAAAGTTTAAGTAGATGTAGCATTTGATAATAACAGTATTGGGGGGATGTTAAAGCAACATTTAAATAGACAATGTTTAAACATAGATCTTTTTTAAAACAAAAAAAATGGAACCCTAAGCACCCCAATGTAAAGATACACACCAGTTTTAGGAGCTCTAGATGAATTCTTTTCTTGTTTTTGGTGTGGAATTATTGGAATAATTTGAATCTGCTTTGATTTCAGCAAAATTGTCTTGTAATCTTTACTTAGCAGTCACATATGTAGTTTGCATTTTCTTGTTAGATTTGCAGACTAATCTACAGACAAACATAACAAAAGCAAAAAGTTCAGGTATTTGGACGTGAATGTTTACATTATTTTTACCATTTTCTGCCCTTTGGATTAATCCAAAACAAATTTTTGAAGTAATTTTCATTGTCTGCAAGGAAATTAATAACACAGTCAGAAATGAGAATAACACCGTCTGACCATGTCTATTTAGAAGTAAATCCCATTGGTTCTAATGGGCCTGGTTTATTAAATATGCATAAAATTGCAACATGAACTGAGCTATATTTAAATTCCAAAGGCATGCTGGTAAGACTGATTTTTACTAAACGACACAGAGGGTAGTCTTAAATTTAGCACTAGCTGCAAATTGCAGGCATTGATGTTAGGTGGAGGAATTTCTCATGCAATTTTAGAATATTAAATATTACATTTAGCCAGATTGTTTCATTGCATGCCTACATCCTTACCTGAGAGTAAGTCTCATCAAAGTCTGTATGATTCATCTTGACTTGATGCATATAGAATTTTCTTGCTGAAAATAGCACACAGTAGAATCCTAAATCCACAAGAGAGTTGTCCTTATTGTTTTTTGGAAAATTAAGTTGAAATCAATATTAATGTATTACATTATAAAGACCTATGGTAGATATTTCCTTATTTATGATTTAGTTAGTCTTCTATTGTATTATCACTGAGAACAATAATGAGACTTATTCCTCACTGATGATTGGATGCTACTGGAAGACCATCTAAACCTCTAGTGAGAAAATAACTATAGCATCACATATAATTTTATTTTGTACACTATAGCTGCAGTTCTGTATTCGTTCTAGTAAACTTTTAAAGGGCATTGCGTTGATATTTTTTCTATTTTTGTGATTTGTTTATATAGATGCAGCTACATTACAATAAAAAGTGTAACAGGTGTATTGTTTTATTTTTCTGCCTGCCCTATATCAAATATTTATTATATGACAAGCAGAAAATTACTAGGCAACTGACAATATGTACTGATTTTTTAAAATATAACATTACTTTTTTAAATGAATCTTCCTCCTATTGGATATAAAAGGCTATTTCAAGAATTGCCACCTTTCACAACCTCTTGAAATATTTATTCTTATGTTTACATAAGTTTGTTTCATTAGTTCTCATATAGTTCTCAACTGTATCAGTTATTGTAATAATACCAGAGGGGGGGTGGGGAACTGATTTCAAGAATGTATTATACAATGCTTCTGGAAATGGGCATCTGTAATTATTCCAAAGTGAATATATGAATTTCCACTCCTTTGGGTAGTTATTGGAGAAATAATCAATAACAATCATAGTCACAGCTAAAAGCAGCTGTGAAGCAGCTTTTAGGTTTGAGAGCTGCCAAGTAGAATCTCTACCGATGCTTATCAATTTTAGTCTTATTATACCTGTTGCCAAATATTTCTAACAAGAGGGGGCTCAAAGGGACGTTTCATCTCAAATTCAGATGTTGCTCTCTTCAGTATCTTTTCTTATTGAAATAATATACCATTATTTCCCTTTCAGAACCAAAGGTTAAATTCAACTATATTACTTTCATGAAATCAATAACTGTAGATTAATAGAAATACATAAACACAATAATAATTTGAATTAAGTTATTCTCTCTTTCAGTTCCCATAGGCTTACTTAGAAAATGCAATCTCTTGTTCTATAACCCACCAACCAGAGAGAGTTTTTTTTTAAAAAAACACCCAATATATATTCAAATTGAAACGATTAAACAACCAATGGCACAGTATTTCTGTTTCTGGGCTGTGTTTTATTTTTATTTTTGTACATTCCACTTGCTGGCCCAGATCCAAATCCCATTTGGTTACTCATTGCTTCTTTCAGTTACAATCCATTCTCCAGCTATCTCACACTGGGCAATCCTTGTTGTCTTGATCTCAGTCCTGTTTCAGGTTGACATGCTAAGATGGTATCCTTCATGGATGGAAATTGCCTGCCAATCTATCACGCTTGAATTCCAAGTTGGTGCGCAATCAGGGCACATGACACTACCATACTGTATTCTTTTCCTTTTGCTCTTAAGCAATCTTTCTGTCACTCACTTTACTGGAATGTTTTGTCTTCTGCGTCCCTTTTCTCCTAAACTGCCTGGTTTATGAGTAATCTTTCATTTTAAAGCTTTCCACCTTAATCTTGAATAATCAATCAGTCTCACTTAAATTGCTGAGTGTATCTTGTTATGCAGCCTGTAAGCAGGAATAAAGGCTGAACTAACCATAATGCCACTTACAGACATTGTTTCCCACAACAGAGACAGAATAATCACGCTACATAAAACTCTCAAATAAGATGACACATGTGAAAAGAATCATGAGCCCTCAGAAGCTAATAACCTCTGATTAATAAAATATTCAGTGTATATCCTATCAATACACATGTTGAAACTGTTGGACAGTGTTGAGGTTCAGGGTTTAGTGACTGTGTGGTTTAACCAATAGATTTCGTGATGTTTTACCAGAAACTCTGAGTGGCATCTTCAGAGCCAAGGTACACAGACAAAAGGCAGCTGAAATACAATTGACTGGGCTCTTGCCTTAATAGATAGCTGTAATGACTTCTGATTGTTCTTTAGATAGGTGAGTTCTGATTAGTGCAGATTGAGAAGGGCATTGAGATTCATAAAAATGCTCTTTGCAAACATGCTGGTGGTAGATGGAATATGGCTGCTTTAAGTGTTGGGGACAGAACTAATCCATGCACGCTAAACAACATTTTCATAGGAAGGAATCCATTTATGTTCTATGAATGGGTGCAATGTAATAAGTAAGGTTCTAATAGTTATTAATTGCTCATCAAATGTTCTTAAAGATAGTACAGGTAGTCCTTGCTTAATGTTGAGTCACTTAGTGGCCATTCAAAGTTATAACAATCATTCTTAAGAGGTAGTTACAACCACATTCTGCACTTTAGGTGCAGAGAAAGAGAGAGAAAGTCACATGACTGCATTTTGGCACTTGGCAACTGCTTGTAGTGTTCTGCAGTCACATAACCTGATTCATGAATTTTTGCCAATTTCTAGGCTTTTCATCTGGTTTCCAGCAAAATCCACCCACAGCAATGAATGGACTTGCTTTATGACTACAGTATTCACTTTATGACCATTGTGTTGGCTTAATGACCACCATAAAAAATATTGTAAAATCAGGTGTTGGTGTCTCAGCTTTCAACTGTGATGATTTACAAGATAATTTCTGTGCATTATTACAATCATAAGTCGAGGACAACCTACACTAAAGAAGGAACATATGAGACAGAGTAGAAAAGAATGTTTTGTGAAGTAGAAATGCAATTTAGCATAACCCAAGTTCAACAAATTTTATGAATTTAACGTTAAAAGATAATTCATTGAATATAGGGAGTGGGTTCAAGAAACAAGATTCTATCATCATTACTGTGAAAATATGCTTTTTACCAGTATCTGGTAAAAATCTTGAGAGCAAAAAAAATTCCTCATACTGTGGGCTGAGGCTGCAGCACATGCATAGGTATGAGTATATGATATGGGTCAGAGTTAGAGACAATGACTGGTCAAAACATACTTGGTTTTCCCTGGTTTCTAGGCCAGCACCTTCCCCACTATGCCAAACGGACTCTTTTGATGTCTCATCTTGATAAATTATTGAAATTGTTAAGGTAGATAAATGAAAATCCCCCCCCTCTTTTATAGTAGTTTCAGAACAGACCTCTTAGTTCTACTGGGTATTATTTAATGTATCTCTTAACATAAACAATTTGGCTATTTGGTACAGAATTATCATTTTTAGTAGCTAAAACCTCATTCTCATTGAAACTGGTGCCATTTTTCTCTTTTCTTAGAACTATTGTTTTGTGAGTTCCTGTTTGGATTTTACTATTTGAACAACCATGAGAGTAAAGTCAGTTTAGTATAGTGGTTCAAGCTAGAAATTGGGAGCATGTGAGTTCTAGCCTACCCGAACCCAGCTTGGCCTATCACTCTTGCTCAGCCATAGACAGAAGGCAATGTCAAACCACTTTTGAAATCTTGCCAACAAAAGGACTAGTCCAGGCAGTCATTAGAAATCAACAATTAACACAAATATACTAAAAAAATCCAGACAACAAAAAAGGATCCGAAAATAGATTATTTCTAGATTTGAAAGGACTGATAAAAAAATAATAGCAAAAGATTAGCCAAGTCATCAGTTCTCATATCAACAGAAGAGGGGAAAAAAGATAACATTTATAATGTTGATTATAATGAGTAATCCTTTGTATGTTAGTCCATAAGAAGAAGATCCAAGGACAACAGCTAGGTTTAGTTGGATCAGATCACCTTTTGGTACATCAAGTCTCCCAAGGTGAGATTGGCCACAACCCTATTGGCCTTTAGGACTTCCCTAGAGACATGGTTGTGCCATCAGGCTTGGGAATCCCATAGAGAAGAGGTCTCTAAACTTGGCAACTTTAAGACTTGTGGACTTCAACTCCCAGAATTCTCCAATCCACAAGTCTGGGGACCCCTGCCATAGAGGTTTGAAACTTGCAAAAGAGCTATATTGTTCACTCAGGCTTCTGGCTGGTCTTTTCTCACATTATATGTTTCTGGTTAATTTGTTTTAATTTTTATTTTGTTTTTATTTGGTTGTTTGGTTTTTTATTTTTGAAGGGGTAGGGTTTCCTGCCTCTAAGCAGGGGGTTGAACTAGAAGACC